GAATACATTCTCCTCATCCTCATACTCACTTGCTCGAGTCTTGAAACAAGTTACTAATAATTGTAGAAGACTCCTCAAAAGATTCTAAGGGACCTTATCAAAAGGTTGGAAAGAACTCTCAAACTTGATTCTCAACTCTACCTTGAATTTGATTTATGAATTCAAGGTTAGGATCATGTTAGGAATGATTTTAGGTATTTAGAAGTAGCTTAGATTAGTTATAATCGAAAAGGTGAAGGTGCACTTTAAACGAACTCAAACGGTGCAACCGACGTCAAACTGGGTAGGGCAGGCGACCCTGGAGCTATGGGTGGGGCGGGGCGCCAGCCCCTATACTTCAGAGGTGGGTTTGGGGCGCTCTGGCAGGTGCATCACGCCAGGCCCCAACCAGAAAATTCAGCAAGTTTATTTTCTCGTTTTCTCACCCTATTTCGCCTAGAATCGAATGGTTTCTTCCCCAATCACTTAGAATTGATTACTTAACATAAGTACACTCTAATCTACTCAATACATCCCTTAAAACACTCACTTTGATCTCAAGAAATCATCCAAAACCCAACACAAGAAGATTTAGAATGAACTACAAGAACACCTATCAAGAACTCATCAACAACTCAAATCTTTCAATTTCAAGACGGAAACTTGCGCTGAAAATAACATGTTTGGCGTGTGGGTGAACAAAACCAACACTATGGAATCTTACATACCTCTTAGGGATCAAACCCATGGCGACAATCCGCAACAACTCTCAAGAACGTCGACGAATGTCTTCATCCTTTCTCTTTTCTCTTCTTTTTTCTTCTTGAACTCTCAACTAAAACTCTAGGCGTAACTAGAATTATAAAACTAAACCTAATCAGATTACACCCCTAAAATATTACTAAAAATGAACTAAATCTGATTGGGTAAGGAAAAGACCAAAATACCCCTTACTATTTCCGGCTAACTTTCCTTAACTGGGAATCCTACCTTCAAAAGGCCATATCTGACTCATCCAAACTCGAAACGTAGCAAACTCGGTGCCGTTGGAAAGATAATTCAAAGGTATTTCCTACGGAATCTGGTAGCACACCTAACTCCTCCTGAGATAGGAGTTATGGTCTTTTGAAGTTGACCCATAACTCATACTTAGCTTAACTTGCAAAATTTCAGATTTTGCTATTTCCATTTTAATTCTTTTTGGAACTCAAGGTGCTACATCTAGTGACCTTAACACTTAAGAAACATTTAATGTCTTGGCAAAATCTCACGCACTACGATGAATGGTTCGAGTATTAGTTAGAAAAAATTTCTGGGGTGTTACAATATCTCCCCCTTGGGATCATTCGTCCTCGAATGACGGTTGGTCTGGGTATGTAATGGTTTACTCTTACTAAGATCTGCGTCTGATGGTCTGCTCTTACTATATTCAAGCTTAACCCAAATCCTTAAGTTCGGATTCTATAGCTCTCTGTAGGAAATCTCCTCCCAAGAATATTACTCTTTAACACCATATTCAAGCTTAGTATTCTAACAACTCCATGGACTCTTACTAACTAACTCCTTCAGGGCCAAGTAAGGGCTCTCATTTAACTATTTCTCTTAGTTAAACCTAATCCTCCTCATTTATAACCTGAGATGAAATTATCACACCATCACTATCATGATAAGAACATCAACCTCCTCTTTTTAACATCAGTCCATTAAAAAAAGGACCTCTAAAAAGATTTCCCCAACTATTTGGAATTTATTACCATCTTAATCTCAAA